CTGCTCTGGATGCCAGGGAATCCAGGAGCAGGATGGGGGATGACTCAGGGCAGGCAAAGCTTTGCTGTCCCTGACACCCACTCCCACACCTCTGCTCCCCAGGGATGCTGGAGGAGAAGCTCTTCTCCCAGGACTCCCAGAGCAGCATCTCTCCAGGGGATAGCTCTGCATCCCCCACTGCTGCTCAGGCAGGAGGTGGGCACACAGTCAGGGCTGTGACTCTGATGGCACTGTCACATCCTGCCCTCGCTGGCCTGTCACAGGTGTCAAAACACAGGTGTCAAAACCCAGCACATCCCTCTGGCTGCCCTGGCTGGCTCCAGACCCTGGCAGGGGGCTCAGAGACCTTGGCACCAAGTCAAAAACACCTGTGGGTTCGATTTTAGCCAGTAGAAAAAGCTGCCAATTCTGTATGAGGAATTACAAGCCACAAGGGTTTGAGCAGTGTGGTAGTTGAATTAATACAGGGTGAAAAAGTATAATTTTGGGGTTCTTAGAATGGGATTCAAGGGGACAAGATGGAGGAGTTTGGGCATGTCCTGACCTTTTTCTCCTTCTCCTTGTCCTCCATATCTTGCTGTGATGGTGACACTTTTCTATTGGTTTAAGGTAGAGAGACACACTAGATAGATAGATATCGGCATGTTATGGTAAACATAATAGACAATAGGTATTGGCACATTATGGTAAACATAATACAGGTAGTTTTTGGTATAAAATGCAAACACCACCCTGAGGACAGACAGAATGCCATGGCCGAGCTGCTGGCCAGACCTCAGCAGGGCAGAGAAAGAATGTTCTAGATAAGGGAAAATAAACAACCTTGAGAAGCCGACCCTGCACATTTCAGACTTCTTTGGCCACACAGGCTGGGAAACGAGGACTTTTACACTCTCAGGGTCACCTCAACACCCAGACCCTGAGTGCTGCTGCACACCCCGGGCTGGAACAGGCGGAGCAGAGGGTGGATGTGTCAGGCTGGAGCGCCTGGTGTGGGCAGCCCCAGGCAGCCTGAGCCAGCCTGCACGGCTCCTGTCAGCCCCCAAAAGCAGCACAACACCCAGAGGAAGCAGCACAGAAGCAGCTGAAAACCCGAGCAAATGGGATGGATGGGGCACAGGGCTCCTGAGAGGAACTGAAGGACTGAAGGAAAGGAATCCAGCGCTCCAATCAAGGCACGGGAGAAAATGCAGGGAAGAACAGAGATCCAGCAAACTTTCAGCTAAGTAGATTATTGATCTTCAGGGTGTGCCAGGAACCAGCTTTGCAAATTACAGCGGTCCCCTGCTGCAAGCTCAGGCAGTTACCGGATGGCAGAGCAGGAACTCCCCAGCTCCCTGCTCCTGCCACCCACAGCCTGCCTCCTCCTCCTCCTCCTCCTCCTCCTCCACTGCCTCAGCCCCACACACGGCCCTGACACTGCCTCAGCCCCACACATGGCCCTGACACTGCCTCAGTCCCACACATTGCCCTGACACTGCCTCAGCCCCACACATTGCCCTGACACTGCCTCAGCCCCACACATTGCCCTGACACTGCCTCAGCCCCACACATGGCCCTGACACCGCCTCAATCCCTGACACTGCCTCAGCCCCTGACACTGCCTCAGCCCCACACATGGCCCTGACACTGCCTCAGCCCCACACATGGCCCTGACACTGCCTCAGCCCCGCTCATGGCCCTGACACTGCCTCAGCCCCACACACGGCCCTGACACTGCCTCAGCCCCAGCACAGACATCACCTGCTCACAGGAGCCCGGAGAGGAGATGCTCAGAGCCCAACTCCTGCCGTGACACTCAGCATCCCCCTGGATCAGCCCCATGGTGCCTGAATCATGGACTATCCTGAGCTGGAAGGCATCCACAAGGATCATCAACCCAGCCCTGCCCAGACACCCCAACAACCCCACCCTGGGCATCCCTGGCAGTGCTGTCCAAACTCTCAGGGAGCTCTGGCAGCCTCAGGGCTGTGCCCATTCCCTGGGGAGCCTGGGCAGTGCCAGCACCCTCTGGGGGAAAAACCTTTTCCTAATATCCAACCTAAACCTCCCTGGCACAGCTCCAGCCACTCCCTGGGTCCTGTCCCCAGGGGACACCAGAGGGAAGAGATCAGTACCTGCCCCTCTGCTGCCCCTCATGGGGATGCTGAAGATCCCTGAGGTCTCCCCTCAGTCTCCTCCAGCCCTCAGCCACAATAAGGCTCAGAGCCCTCCTGGGAGGGAGGTGAGGAAGGATTTTTTCACCCTTCTCACAGGAGGCAAGGAAAAGGCCACGGGGTTATCTGGTGGCATGGGCAGGGTGACACCAACCAGCTCTTCCCATCCCTGGGCCAGTCCCTCTGCCCTGGAGGAGCTGGTTTTAACAAAGCTGGGCCTTTGGGACTGCTGGGGCGTGATGAGCCCTCGGACTGTCAGACCGCCTCGTTTTAAATAAATTCCACTGACGTTGTCTCTCCTGCCATGAATTATTAACCAAGCATGATGCACACAGTGCCAGCAGCAGCGTCTGGGGCAGGCACTGAGCAGGTGAGGCTCTGCCTGGGACCGCAGGTGTGAGGCACAGGAATTCCAGCATCCCTGGGAGCAGAGGTGTTGTCACCATGGCTGCCACCTGGTCACGCCAGGCAAAGTCACACTCCGTGCCCAGGGCACATAAAACCCAGACTCTGGCATCTCCACGCATCCATCTGTGCCAGCACACGCTGGGAGCGGGGACTGCTCTTCCCACCTTGTGACAGTCCCAGGGACAGAGGCAGCTGGCTCTGCTCTGCTCCTGGAAATGCTGTGGCTGTCCTGGAGGTACCCAGCCAGCCAGTCTCTCCTAGGGTGGCCTGAACAGATGGGACCATTGCTCTCCCTGCAGCCTGAAGAAACTCCAGTTAAGCTGGGACAAGAGGAATGGTGGGTGAGATGTGAGATGGGGACAGCTTTTCAGAGAGGGACCAACCCAGGAGCCGATGCCCAGAGGCAAATTAGTACCTCCCCACACCCTCCCCGGCTGATGACTTGAGAATTCACCAGAACATTCAAAAGGTCCCCAGGGGAGAGCCTGACGGAAAGTGAACCATCAGCAAGGGGCAGGGAGCCAAGGCCAGCACCGGTGGGAGCTCCTGGAAGAATTGTGAGCTGTGGGTATGGACCACACCGGGGGCTGCAGGTGAGAAATCAGCAGGATAAAGGGCAATTCTTCTGCCCTCAAAATAAACCCAAGCAGCCTGAAGCCAGAGGAAAGAGGAGAGTTATGTGAATCCCAGCTCTGTAAAGGCCTGAGGAGGTGGTGGGCTTCCAGCACCAGCCACAGATCATCTGGTTTCCCCTTCTCTGGTCACTCAGTGCAATGAGAAGGAAGAGGAAAGCGTACTGAGCAGGAAAAAATAACATTCCGTATTTTTTTCCTCCCATAATTCAGTAGAACAACATCCACATTTCATCCTGGAAGGAGCTGCACTTTGGGGATTCTCGTGTCTGAGATCTAATTTGTAAAGCGCCCAGGGATCCCTGAGGGGAAAAAAGCATTATAGGATCATTATTAAAAGGGACACGTTATATTTCATGTCTCAGTTCCACACAACTGGAAAAAAAAGGCCAAGAGCAAACTCTGGGATCAGAGGACAAACCTGTGAAATATAACACACATCCAGGGAGTGAAAAAAACAGGACATGGGGAGTCTCCTGCTTTGCCCGCTGCTCGGCCACGCCACAGCAGTGACACAGAGCAAAAAGCAGCAAAGAGGGATTTTTAATAAAAGCCACAATCCGTGGTCCCTCTCAGCCGTCCCCTGGGCTGTTTTACAAGTCTGGGGCGGATCCAGCTCTTAGAGCATCGGAACACAAAACACAACCTGAGCACAGCCCACCCACGGGGCTGCCTGTGGTCCTGCTGGCTCCTCCACCTGCCACCAGATAATTCAGACAAAAAAAGCTTTCCTTGAGCCTCTCAGCAGTGCTTGCACCAGCAGTGTCTCTGCCACAGCCCTTTCAAACCCTCAGCATGTAGGTGGCTGGATGAGAAGCCATTTCCCAGGGGAATGAGCAAAGGAACCTATTTCAGGTTGAATCTCACGCCTGCCTGTGTCCCACCCACGCGGTGTCACTGCTGGGGTCACTTCTGTCACACACAGCATCTATCTGCTCAGCCAAGCCCAGACAGCACCAGGGATGGATCTGCCAGAGCAGCACAACACCCGCAGGGAGGGTGTGGAGGGGAGGGGGCAGGGATGCAGACCCTGCTCAGCCACTTGTGTGGCAAGAGACAGCCTGGGCCTTGGGCTGGGGCTGCTGCTGCAGCAGGGAACACTCAGCACCCAGCACTGGCGTGGATTATGCTTCCCAATCCCAGATGCCTGACCTCTGGCACACCAGAACTGCAGGTGCTGGTGTCATGTGGAGCTCAGCATGGAGCTTGACTTCCATGTAAACCTGATGGGTTTCTCCCAGTGCTGTTTCCAAATCAGTGCAACCCCCAAGGCCACCAATCCTGCCCTTCCAATCATAGAATCATGGAATGCTTTGGGCTGGGAGGGACCTTAAAGATCATCTTGTTCCATGGGCAGGGACCTTCCACTAGACCTGGTCTTCAGAGTGAAATAGAATAGGTTTAAATGTAGGTTTGTATTTAGGTTTCTATTGGGAAGGAATATTTCCCTGTGAGGGTGCTGAGCACAGGTCCCCAGAGCAGCTGTGGCTGCCCCTGGATCCCTGGCAGTGCCCAAGGCCAGGTTGGACACTGGGGCTTGGAACAACCTGGGACAGTGGGAGGTGTCCCTGCCATGGCAGGGGGTGGGACTGGATGGGCTTTAAGATCCTTTCCAATCCAAACTATTCCACGATTGTATGGACAGCACTTGTCCAGTCCATAAAGCACCACGGCTACAGGAACCCCCAAACAAAGCTCTCAGAATTCTGAGAACAGGAGCAGCACAAGCCTCAGTCCTGGGGCTTTCAGAGGGCTGGGCAGGAGAGACCTTTCTCTGGGTGAAGCAGGGGGAAGGTAGCAGTACCTGGGTGCTGTTTTCATCCCCCTGGGCGTGGATGGTGTAGGAGCGAGTGCCGTCCCTGAAGGTCTCGCTGGCGATGCGCACTGCCACACCGGGCAGCGGGGTGCCCACGGAGCCTGCGGAGGACAGAGCATGGAAACGGGGCACAGCCCTCGGGAAAACACAGGATCAGGGTGCAAAAGAGCAGCTGTTTGTCTAGCAATGGCATCTGCAGGCTGTGCTGGCACTAAAGGACTTCCTAGCAGGGAAGGAAGGTGTTGATCTCACCGTGTGTCTGCATGGAAATGTCAGGAGCAGGCAGTGCTGGGAATGCCTCTGAACACAAACGTGTCTCCAGCCCTGAACAGACTCTCTTGGCCACTCGTTGAAGACATCTGCACCTCTTCAGAGCTCAGGAATGAAGCTGTTTCTTTTTTTTTTTTTTTTTTAAGAAAAAAAGAAAGGCACCATAAAACCTACACAAAGCTGTGAAAAGAGAGCACAGAGATTACTCTGCTCCTCTACAGCCTGCACCTGACAGGGGAGGCAAAGGCTTAACAGCTGAGACTTGCCAGGGATTATCTGAGTTTTAGGAGACATCAATACACTGGATAGAAAACATCACAGGAGAAAAGCAGGGATCAAAACCACCCTGTTCTTCCACAGGTTTCAATTTCAAAGCCCAGGAGCTGACACAGTGTCAAAACAACCACTACTGAGCTCCAAGCTCTGGGACCCTGAGCTTCCCAACCTGCAGCTTTCCCACCCCCTGGTTTAGGGCCTGTTCTTCCTGGGGAGCACCTGAGAGCTCAGCAGAGAGGGCAGCTCTGTGCCTGTGACCTGTGGGATGGGCAGCAGATCTCAGCAGGTCTCACTCACGAGATGGCTCCTGTGACAGAATGGGGCCTGTGACCTTCACCCCTGTGAGCAGGGAGAGGGACAGCACCTCACAGCAACCTGTGGCTCAGCAGGACTGAGTTTCAGTTGGAGAAGGACTTTTCACAAGGGCCTGGAGTACCAGGACAAGGGGGAATTGCTTCCCACTGCCAGAGGAAAGGGTTAGATGGGATATCAGGAAGAAATTCTTCCCTGTGAGGGTGGGCAGGCCCTGGCACAGGTTCCCAGAGAAGCTGTGGCTGCCCCTGGATCCCTGGAAGTGTCCAAGGCCAGGTTGGACAGGGCTTGGAGCACCCTGGGCTATTGGAAGGTGTCCCTGCCCAGGGCAGAGGGGATGGAACAAGATGAGCTGAAGGATCCCTTCCAAACCAAACCATTCTGTGATTCTATAAATTGGCAACTGTGCTCTTTATTTTAATGGATGACCAATTTTCTCCCCTCCTGTTGATGCTTTCCAGGTCTGCCAGGAGCACCTTGACACTGGGAATTCCCTAGAGCAGGGAGTGCAGGGCCTGGAGCTCAGCCCTGTCTTCCTCTTGTCGCTCATATTTCAGCATTTGGGTTCAAGTGGCATTTTCCCTGTCCTGGTCTCATTCTCCTGCTGAAGCCCTGGGGATCTGCTATCCGTGACATCATGATTTTGTCTGCTACATTGGTCAGTTGCCATGGAAATGGATATGTCGTCGTAGCCCAGATTTATGGCATCCCTGCAGGATCAGCCAAGAGCAGATGGGCTATGAGGGAGTGAGATTTTATTGCAGCAAAACTACCAGAACAATTAGCAAATCTGGCTGGAAATAAACACAAAGCGACGTGGCAGCTCCGTGATCCGTGTCTGCTCTGCTCAGAATTGCCTTTGGCATTCTGGTCAGCCAGCACAGCCACGTCCTCCCCTCACCACCAGCAGCCCTGGGCTGCTCCCACCTCCAGGCCAGACACTGCCAGGAACCAGAGACACAGGGCTGCAGCAGGGCAAGGAGGGAGCCACGAGCCTGAAGTGCCCTGAGGTACCGTGTCGAGGTATTTATGGAATCAGAGAATCACAGAAGTTGGATCCCACAAGGATCATCAAGTTCAGCTCCTGGCTCTGCACAGGACAACCCTAAAAATCACACCATATGTGTTATAAACAATCTTGCACCTGCCACGGGAGGCTCCAAGAGGCCTCAAAGCAAGTAACAAGTCACAGAAAACACCCTCAGTGTTGCATGGAAGGTTGCTGGAGCCACCTTCTAGACTTCTGTGGGAACAGTTTCTCCAGGGTGAAAAACTGTGTGTGAACAGACTCCAATCTGCCCACAAAACATGGCACGTCTGTGGGCAGGCACCACAAAGTCAGTCCTGGAAAGCTCATGGAGGGAGCAGAAACCAATGCAAGGAACTGCCAGGGGCTCTCACAGACTTGGAATTTTTCAAATCAAGGTCAGCCAGATGCCTTCCTGGAAGATGCTTCTTCCCTGGATGCAAGCTGCTGACCTCAGCATGGAAATGGGCAGTGATTCATGGGCAGCAGGGCTCCAGGATTAGTGCCCACTGCTGGTCCCAGCCCTTGGGAATGAGACACCAAAGATCAGCACAGGGCTGGCACAGAGGAGGTGACATGTTCCCCACACAGTGTTTCAGATCACAGTTACTAACACAGCCCCACCAGATCCTCTCCTACTTGGCTAAAATAAAACCAACATGTAAAACAAGTCCCTGGTGGAGAGCTGCTTCCTTATATTTCTGTCTGGAGAAGCTTTTTTGATACTTAAAAAAAGTGACAAACTTAAAAATCAACATCTGTAAAGGCTGAAAAAGCTCCTACCATTGATTAGAGCTCCACAAAGCTGACAGGATTAATAGAATTTGTGCAAAAACAATGACTAGAGTTTCCCAGGCCCATCCACCGTGTCAAAACACGCCCTGTGCCAACTCCAACAGGTCAGCAAAAATTTGGGCCGTTCCCAAAGGAGCAGCCCCGGAGGTTCTGCCTTCATCAAGCCACAGTTGGGGTGATCAGAAGGGGTCAACACTGTGCACTGGCTTCCTTTTGGCCCCAGCCATAATCCCGAGGGGAAACTGGGGAGAAATCTCTGCTCCTTCCCCTCTGCATCCCTGCAATTTGCAGACTCCGGGATGTTAAGCAATGCTGGCACCTCGCCTGCGGTGTCACCGTTCTGCTTTCACCCCTTCTCCTCTGTTTAAAAAAGTTGTCAGCTCTTCCCAGATCAATTTAATCGGCCCGTGCTCTGTGTCCTTCGGTATCCGGTAGCTCGGTGCTGCTGTGTCCCGGGAGGATTGCAACGGGCCAACGATAAGGCACTCAAGGATCTCACTGTCAACAATACACGGAGTCCCCGCTGTAGCAGCTATTAGCTGCCTCTGATCTAAACCTCCAATTAAAGTGGTGATTAGGCCCAGTGAGGCATCCTCCGGCCATGAATTATTCATCTCCCTTCACAGTAACAGCACCAGGGGGGATTAGAATGAGAGCTGGTGAAAACAGAGGCATTTTAAGCAGGGTTTTAACCATATACAAGCAAACATTTATCTTTCAAATCTTTCATCTTTGCTGCTGCTGGAAATTAAAGCTCCCACATCCCCATCCCTGCCCCTTCAGACCTGTGCTGTGGGTGGAGAGTGGGGACACGCTGCTGGTGACACCGCTGGGGACACGGGCAGGATGGGCAGGGTCCAAGGACTGCACCCTTCTCCAAGTGCCTGCAAGAGGGCAAGAGAAGCCCCAGGATCTCTCCTCAGAGGCTCATGAATCACAGAATGGTTTGGAAAGGACCTTAAAGCTCATTCAATCCCAGCCCCTGCCATGGCAGGGACACCTTCCACTAGCCCAGGGTACTCCAAGCCCCATCCAGCCTGGCCTTGGACACTTCCAGGGATCCAGGGGCAGCCACAGCTGCTCTGGGCGCCCAGAGAAGGGCCTCACCACCCTCACAGCCAAGAGTTTCTTACTAATATCTAATCTAAACCTGAAGTTAATTGTGAAGCCATTCCCCCTTGTCTTGTCACTCCAGGCTCTTGTCCAAAGCCCCACTCCATCTTCCTTGTAAGAAGGCCTTTCAGGAACTGGAAGGCCACAATCAGGTCACCCCAAAGCCTTCTCTTCTCCAGGCTGAACAACCCCAATTCTCTCAGCAGAGGTGCTCCATCCCTCTGATCCTCCTGGTGCCTCCTCTGGGCTCACTCCAACAGGTCAAAGCAGGAGAGAAGGTCTTGTGCTGCTCCCACTCCAGGAGAAATCCTCTGGCAGATGTCCCCTGCTCCCAGCCCACCATCAGCTGCCTCTGAGATCTCTGTGGTACCTGGTGACCTCCTACCCAGCCTCTAACAGGGCACTAGATCAAAAGCTTTTTCACAGCTCCAACAAATTATGCCTCAGCTTCACCCATCTGCTTCCCAGCTGACACTTCCTGAAATAAATTAATCAAGCCTATTCAATTATAGCCTCATTTCTGTAGGGTTTCTTGCTGATCCCCACCTTTGTGAGACACTTCTCTCCCCTCTCGGGGCTGCAGGAGCCCCTGGATGGGGCTGGAGTGACAGTCCCCAGCCCCTCTGCTTTGGCTGCACGAGAGGATTTGTGCCCAGGTCCCCCGCAGGATCCATAGGGATGGTGCCTCAGGAGCACAGCCACCAGCTCTGGGGCAGGAGCTGCCCTTCTGGGGGCCAGCTTGTGCACTGCCATGATACTTCCAGTCTTACTCCTTTTCTCTTTTAGTCCTCTGGGAAATTTCTGGAGTCTCCACTCATTTTCCCTCAGGAAAATCAATAAAAAGCAAATATAACACAGGGACGGTGCAATGGTCCCTGCCCTGTCCCCATGGGGTGTGTGGGGCTCACACACAGCTCGAGCTCCTGCAGATGGGAGTCTTGTTTTTCCTGCCTGCTTCTCCCTCCTGCCTGCAGGGATGGGGCTGCTGGAGGAAGATAAAACAGGCTGAGGTGGGGTGAGGGAATGACAGTTACCCTGCCAAAGTAAAACAGAGTTTGGATTTCAAGCTGTTCTCAGGCTGAGGAGTCAACGAGGGGGAGTTTTGGCTTCTCCTCTCCCCGTGCCACCCCTGCAGGACCCAGCTCCTGCATCCCATGGGACTGGGGTGCTGTGGGAAGCTGTGACACCCAGGACCCCTCTGGGGTAACACCAGTTCCCCAGGAGGCTGCATATGGTGCCATGCCTGCACAGACAGCCTGTGGGGAGGCAGGTGGCACAGGGTGGGCACACAGATGGCCACGCTCCAACCACAGGGAGAGTGGGGGCATTTTACATTTGCAGTGTCTCGGATCAATTTATTTCTAGGTTCCAGAAAGTACAGCTATGGAGAGGAATCACAAAGTGTAGCTCAGAGAAGGGGGGGAAAGACAAGGAGAGAACAGGCCCAGAGTGTACAGCGAGGTGTGACAATTTTGAATCCCTGAAGAGGCAAGAAACAGGCACTAAAATAAGAGTGAGCAGACGTCCTATTTTAAGTGTTCAGCGCTGATGGGTTGGACAAGCACTGCTGTGTGGAGAATCCTGTGTGACACCACCCAGAAATACAACTCCAGGCAGCAGGGGCTGAAGAAACACTCCTCCAATTCACTAAGATTTTTGGAAGTCAGTCTAGAGCGTGCCAGCCTGGTCAGGCCAGTGGGCACCACTGCCACTCTGCACACACAGCTTTGATCCCTGGGAAACCCAGCAGCCCCTTCCCACACATCCATGTCCTGAATCCCCAGTGCCAATTCCCAGCACCCCTGCTGCTAGCGTGGCCTCTCCTCACTCATGTGCAGAGAACAGCCCAGAGCACTGCCCAGCAAACGCCTCCAAACAGGGGCACCCCTGGAGACTCCTACCTGGGACACGGACTCCATGCAAAGGGTTAGAAAGCGCCATCCCAATCTCAGTCATCCCGTACCTCTCCAGCAAGGTGTGCCCCGTGATGCTCTTCCACTTCTCCAGGACAGGCACGGGCAGGGCTGCTGAGCCTGACACCATTAACCTGCACAGGGAAAGGCCAGCTAAGAGTATCTGAGAGCACCTTTGCTCCAGGGAATTTGCAGCCCGACACCGGGGCACAAAAAGTTCTACGTAAAACCTGCAGCCCCAAAATCCTTTTAACCAGTACCAGAGATGTCCCTCACATTCTCAGCCTGATCTGGGGTTTAGGTTAACCAGGACAGCCTCTTAAAAGAGATCCTGGAGTGTTGCCCTGATTTTTAAAAGTGTTAAGTTTTCTTTTATAGTTCTTTTGAAAGTTTTAAAGTTCTCATTAAACTTCTTTAGCCTTCTTATAATGTTTACATATTTCTACTGGAATTCTCACACACTGTTCATGTAAATAATGATTGTTTTGCATTCTTCTTTGTGGGAGGAGGGAATTGATGGGCTGTTGGTTTGACCAGTGTGGTTGGAGAGGTGGCAGCTTTATCCTCCAATCCACTGCCACTTTTGGAATTCTGTATATTGCAAAGTCACAAATAAAATTGTCTCTTTTTCTCTCTTGAACTCACCAAGCCTCTGTGTACTCATTTTGTGTCCAACAGCGACATTGGAACACAAGCCTGGGCTGCAGGACAAAGTCCTCAGCCATGTGTTACACATAATGAGCCCTTTCTGGCTCTCCATGCAAGAGTGGCTCCTAATTAAATAATGTCACCCTTGTTCCTGTCACAGAGACCCCAAAGCACAACAACCAGCGCTGAAGGAGGTGATGCTGAAAGGAAAACGTGGAGCATCCAGCGAGTCAGCAGCAGCCCCTGCCCACAGCTCACCCACCTGATGTTCTCCTGGCAAAAGGCACGCACGAAATCCTGCACTTGGGGCTGGGTGAAGTGCTCGTCGTAATATTCCATCAGCTTGGCATAGATGGTGGGCACTGCCATGAACACATTGACACGGGGAGCTTGGGAGCTCAGGAGCTTCTTCCACACCTGGGAAGGAAGGGAATACAGGGATGAAAATACACCTTTGCTATCTAAGATTTCTTGGAAGTACAGCTGGAAGCTGTTGTGTGCCCCCATCCCTGTCCAAAACAAGTTCCCAACTTTCATCATGCCCTTGTTACCCAAGGCACAACGTTCCCACCAGTGGATGCCTCAGCCAGAATCACTCACGAGGTGATGGAAATGGCATTTGTTAGTCCTGTCATGTTGCAGCCGAGAATTTGCTCACGAAGATGGAAGCCTGTGGCAGAATCAGCTCGTTCCCTTATCACGCACAGTTCTTCAAAGGCTGCACAAAGCCACCAGTTTTCCAAAGAGTGGGAGCTCTTCTTTGGAAAGCCACAGCCCACACCTGATACACAATACACAGCTTGGAGCCCATGGACCTCAACCACTGTGCAAAGGTGGGAAGAGGGAAATCAGGCACTGGGAGTGAGACTTCATGAAAACGGTGATGCACAGAGAGCCACGTCCCTGGCGAGCTCAGAGGAGCCATCAGAATGAACAGGGAAAGCAGGGGCAGCAGGAGACAGAGGCTTTTCAGGAGGGCCACTACCCCAGCCACACTCCTCCTGAGAGGGATGCTCCCTGTGGGAATAACATTCTTCAGCTGCAGCTCCACTGACCTGTGGGAACTATGAACGGGGGCAAATTCCAGCAGCCAGCTCTGCTGGGATGTGGACAAGGACACCTCTGGCACGCACAGCCAGCCAGGGGTGAGAGGCACAACTGCCACACCCCAGCCTGCTCCTGCCACACCTCAGAGAGAGCTCACCTCCCTGCCAGGTAAGCTCTGCCCAGGGCAGGAGCGATGCAAAGCCACCAATAAATCAGAGCCAGTCGCTGCCCCGTGGTGACAAATGTGTTCCCTGACAGCTCCTGACACCGAGCGCTGCCGTGCACGCCCAGCTGCACACGAGTGAGGCGAGGCAGGGATTGATTGAAGGTGAGCCAGGGATTCTCCTTCATGCTCTCACTCTGCCCCTTCCCTCCCTTCTGCTGGCTCGGGCTCCGTTTCATCCCTTTCTCCTTGGCTGCACGCTCACACTCTGCTGCTCCAGAACAACCAGCTCCTAAAAAATCCCCCCCAGCAGCTGCTCCAGAACAACCAGCTCCTAAAAATCCCCCCCAGCAGCTGCTCCAGAACAACCAGCTCCTAAAAATCCCCCCCAGTGGCTGGTCCAGAACAACCAGCTCCTAAAAAATCCCCCCCAGTGGCTGCTCCAGAACAACCAGCTCCTAAAAATCCCCCCCAGCAGCTGCTCCAGAACAACCAGCTCCTAAAAAATCCCTCCCAGCACCAGTGATGGTTGTTAACAGAGCAGGAGACCTCCACAGAGGCTGCTCCAGAACAACCAGCTCCTAAAAAATCCCCCCCAGCGGCTGCTCCAGAACAATCAGCTCCTAAAAATCCCTCCCAGCACCAGTGGTTGTTGTTAACAGAGGCTGCTCCAGACCAATCAGCTCCTAAAAAACCCTCCCAGAACTGGTGATGGTTGTTAACAGAGCAGGACATGCCCACAGAGGCACCGTCCCACCCAACAGGAGGAGCTCACGCTGCCCCCCAGCCCAGGGATGGCCCTCGGTGGGGAGGGATGAATGCACAAGGTGCAAAGCCACTGGACACCCCGGCACTGCAAGATCCCCTGGGAAAGGAAAGCAGAACTGGGATGTGACTTCCTGCACTGAGGGGTGAGATGTCCAGAGAGGGAACGTTTCAGTCCCTGCAGAAACCCACCTACCAGCCAGATCCCTATCAGCCAGATTAGGTAAAATTGCATTTAGAGGGGTCTAACTTTGAACTGATGCCTTGAGAGGCTGATCTGGAACAGAGAGTAGACAGAGCTAAATGGACAAAACAGGTATTTATTGCAAGGCCTTAAAAGGACACACCTTAGGCAGCACAAGAGCCTGGCCAGGGCTACACCCAGGCTAAATCCAGGATGGATCCCAGTCACGAGTTTTTACACTTTTATAAGTTTTGGTTCATCTACATATTGGGTTCAATTGTCCAGTTACAGCTCCAGGTCATGAAGTCCCAAACCCCCTGGCTTGCCCCCTTCCCTTTGCTGTTGTTTGTGCTTTTTGGGTACGGCTGTCCTTGATCCTCCAGCTGGGAAGGGATTGTTTTGTCCAACTACCCTGTGAAGAGAACCTACTAACACCTCATAGAAAGTTCCAGAGTTACACACCAGGCAGGAGAGAATCTGAAAAATAGAAAAGCTGAATCCCAGCATTTCCCAGCCCCCTTTTTCCCCAATATCTTTCCCATTCTAGAGAAGGATCTCTCCAAAGCCAGGGCTGGATGGATCTGCTCTCCTCAGCCTGGTGCTCTGAGAGCCATTGCTGTGGGCAGGGAAGGACACGGGATGGCCAGCAGGGACCAGGACTGTGCTGAGGGGATTGAATGGAAACAGATGCTCAGGGCTTGTTCAATCCCTGCTGTGTGATTTTGTTTTGCCTTCCCAAGTCCCGAGCAGCTGTGGGAGCGCAGGCAGACTTCCAGTCCGACCATGCAGCAGAGTTTTTGTCACCTGACTTTGGATCTGAAAAACCCCAAACCCATCTAAACAGAGCAAGTGTCCCTTGCACCCCAGAGTCCCCTGTCCCCATGTGCCAGCTCAACTCCTGCCTTAGCTAAATCCTCCCTCCTGCACTGCAGCCACAGGAGCAGCTTTTCTGTGTCAGTCCAGCTCACCCAGCAACAGCCCCTTCCTGAGGATAAGCAGCTGCCTTTGGATTTGTGCCACCAGCTGCTGGGGTGATCTGCTGACAGCCAAACCTCTCCACCTGCTCTGCTCCTGCTCAGCCAAATCTGGATCCTTCCCATGTGTTTTAGCAGGACTAAGCCCTGGTACAAAGCTGGCAGCTCCCAGCGCTCCGCAGAGCCCAAGCTGGCCGGAGGGCTTGGCACTGCCCAGCCAGCTGGAACAGCTATTCCTGGCTTCTCACTGTACCTCCAGGCTTTGAGAGAAGGATCTGGGAAAGCCTCGTTACCTGGGACTAATCAATCAATCCCCTGCGAGGCGCCAGCTTTGTCCTGGCAGCACCCGGCATCCTCCGACAGTGCCAGGCTTGGAGCAGCAGCCTCCATCCCCCCTGGCTTATCCCACTGCCACTGTCACCACGTTAATTCCCCGTGCACAGGGCACTGGCAGCCCAATGCTCTGTTTTGTTTTGCTCACCTGATGCCTCCAAGTGCTTTTAAAAAGCCATGGATTCGGGAAGCAGACATGGCACCGTGTGCCAGGGCTGCCAGGCTCTGCAAAGAAGGGAAGCAGCAGCCTTCCCATGGAATATGCTCAGGAGATGGATCAAGATTCCTTTTAAGCAAGGGCTAGAAACAAAAAGTTTCTCACTGCAAGAAAGCAAGAGTGGATACAGCTTCCCACCAGCAATAACGGCAGGGAATGCTTCGGGTCAGGGCTGCCTGTGCCAGCAGAGAAGTGGGAGACCTAATGTTCCCAAGAGCCTTCCTGTCAGCGTGACATTCCTGATTTTCCTCCCCTCCCACTGCTCCAAAGCATATCATGAGCTGGCCATCATTAAAGGAGAAAAAAAAAAGGAGAAAATGACACCAGGGGTACAAACAAGCGCAGCAAGGCACAGCTGGGAGATTTTTCCCATGTATTTTTTCCCAGCACGCAGATTGTGAGTGAGGATGGTCAGACCATACAGCAACCTTCCCAACCAGCCTCCAGACCTGCTAAGGTCACCTGAAGGAAGAGATGTGAGCACAGAGGAGAAAAGGCAACAACTTTTCCCTTTAGAGTGGGAGATGTGCCATGCCCCGAACCAGCCAGAAACACCAAATCCAATATTTAGGCATCTTCTCATGCAAAAGGAGAAGAAACAGTGGCAAACCCAGTTATGTGCTAAACCATGTAAGATTTTAGCTGATAGAAGATTCCCAAAACCAGTCAGAAGAACTACAAGCTGTAAAGGAAGGAAATATCAGCATGGATTTTTCCATCAGCCCACAAAGGGATCACAGCCAGCCTGCGGTGCAGCCTCTATTGACAGACACAAGAGCTCCTCTCTTCTATAAAATTATTGTGCCAATTTCAGTTGTAATTGAATCTTTTCAAACCTTTTCAAAAATAACAAAGCCTCTAATGCAAGGTTAACTCAGCCCTTTACTTCCCTCTTGCTCGGGGAGATGGGTCTGTGTTTAGCACTGCCTGCTGCCATGTGGGAAGCACCATCGAGGAAAAGGGATGCCGGTGATTTTTGGAATGTCTGTGGGAGCAACAGGGCTGTGGCCAAAGCAGCTGCTTGTTTGATGAGATCCTGTGCCAAACACAAGGGTGGGCAGCTCCTGTAACACAACAGCAGCAGCCAAGGGACTGCAGGACCATGCTCACACATCCAACACCAAATTATCCCAAAGAAGCAGATGGGTACATGAGGCAGGAGAGCACCAAGGGGAGCTCTGCTCTCTCCCAAGGACTGAGCCTCCAACACTTCACAACCAATATGCAGAGAGAGAGAAACATTCTTCTCTTCAAAGAGAAATCAGGCCCTCGGTGGCTTCGTCTCATGTTTGTTATAACCCCAAACTGTTTGCGCTCTGTGCGACTCTGGTTTTAATCATTTATTCATCAGCACAGTTTGATGGCCCCTCTGCATTCCAGGCTGAAGCTTTTAAACCCTTCCTATGCTGGAGGCATACTGAAAGGAGCAAGTGCTTTCCCTAGGACCTGGAAATATAAGTAAATATGACAGGCTCTGGTTCCATTTTTTATATTTCCCCACACACATCAAAAGCCATTACTTGGGAACAGATGCTGAGGACAGACGGCAGATCTGGGGAGATGGGAAAGAAAACCTCTAACTTTTTAAAGCCAGGTCTGTGAGAAGTGATCAAACATAATCCATTCACTAGTGACCTGCTCCTCCCTCCACTGACTCCTCTTTGAGTCTGAAATAAAATTACTCCTCTGAAGCCTCCCATTAACAGATGAAAAGACTTTCAGCCTCTCTCCAGCTGAAGCTGGATGGGGGCCGTGATCCCCAGCGTGCCTGGATATTGGAGCTCAGGCTCCTCTGCTTGGATTTGCTTTCCTTTTAAAAATAAACCAAAAGAGCTGCCCAGAGTGATGTTTGCAGAAGTGACAGATCCAGGGGAGAGGCTCAGTGCAGTGCACGCTTCTCCTTCCCTGAGGCAACAGCAACGCCGAGTCTGGATCCCCCTGTGCAGCCCAGCCAAGGTAGACAGCCCCAGCACCCAGCCCACACAGAGAACACCAGTGACAAGGACAAAGTTTGCTCCCAGACACAGCCCAGGACTTCAGGAATCCAGGGCTGTGAGCACATGATGCAGCAGCACCCCGGAGCAACACCTCCCACTCATCCTGTGCCAGGCCTGCAGCTCCCTCCTACCACGGGAAAAGGTGCCACGGGGGACAGAACACCAGGGAAAGCTTGTCCCCAATCACACACCACCTTTGGGCACACAGCACTCCTATTTCCCTAGAAAGAAGGGTCCAAACAAGATGATTTTGATGGCTTTGAGTGTGACACTGTAAAACAGGGCACGGTTTTTAGAGGGCTCAATCCTCAGAGCACCTTAAGTCAGACACGCAGTGAGGCTGGCACTGAAACAGCAGCTCCTGGAACTGCAGGAAATCTGCATCTTGGCATATTTCTCATGGAAGGGGCTGCAGGGCACAGCCAGGGCTGTCACTGCACAGGCAGCACACGCCACAGCTGGGTCACCCGGAGTGCAGATTTCCATCAGCTTCTGCCATCACTCAGCACAGCAAGTTTCTTCCTTCAGGTTTTTCACTGCTCTTATTTCCCACTCTGCACAAGAGGCTGGAAGACCTCCCAGGATCTGCTCTCGTGTTTATCAATGCAGAGAGCTGACAGGGAACCTTTTGCCATTACAACACCTTCCCCTCATGGCAAGATCAGGGCTGTTCAAAGCAAAGACAAGCTCTTCCTGTTGTTCAAGCCCAAAATGGATCCTCTTTGTCCAAAAACCACAGCAGAGGATCCTGTAAAGCAGACATTGACCTCACCACTTGCTCCAAAATGGTCCTGTCCAAGGAATGGGGACATCAGTGTGTGACTGTCACAGCAAGCACAGGGGACACCGGGCTGCCCCGGCTCCGTCTCTCCACGCTCTCTGACTTTTCCACAGAGCAACAGTCCCACCACAGGCTGTGCCTCAGCTCTGCAGGGAGGGAGATGGAGCGAGGCAGTCACTGGGAATGGATGCTCCAGAGGGTGCTTGGTACAAGCCCTCCTGATGCTCAGAGCCAAAAGCACCTGGCCAGGAGGAGAAGGCTCAGCCTGCACTCCTTCCTCAACAGAGACATTCCCCTCTTCACCTCTGTCACCACAGTGCACAAAGTTTGTCCAAGCACAGCACCTTTAAAATCCCTACTCCTGGACAAGAAATTCCTACTCCAGCACCTGGGACAGGTCAGCAGCAGCTGAGAAATGCCAACAGGAACAGTGCAGCTGGAAGAGTAAAGTCAGCCTGGGAGCAGGATATGGAGGGAAGATCATAAGGGATGCTGAGGCTGCAGCTTGCTCTGGCTCCAGAGGAGGTTTCTGCCCTCACACCTCTCACCTGTGAAAACCAATGAAACAGCAAACCAGTAACATCACAGCCAGCCATGCCCCACACAGCTGCTGGCAGAACACCCCTCGGGCTCCCTGCTGTTCTCCTGCCTGCTCCATACCCACCTGTGCTCCAGAGTTTCCCCCACAGCCATCCCTAAGCCCAGAAGCACAGACAGCAGCACAGGATGCTGCTCCCATGGGCTCCCTGCGAAGACACTGCACCCCAAGGAGCACCAGAGGACTCAGGACATCACGTACGAGTCGACTAATTCTGGAAACTGAGGGTCCATTTATAAACCCTTTATTAATAAATGATTAATAGATGCAGCCATATTTTTTAATAACTTGCAATAAAAAAATGCTATGAAAAGCTTAAGCAAGACAGTCTTAACAGATGGTGCTATAAAGTGAATTATAACATGTACAGTAGCTAGTGCAGCGTAATGGATGTCCTCATTTAATAAAAAGAATCTGATTTTATGCAGCAACTTTCACGCTTGAGGCACCTCAGCACACTTTAACGAGTTGTCGTGGCCTCAGCAGTAGCCACAGCCATCAGATGCTGTTTTAGTGAGAGGAAGGATGTTGGTCAGGACACTGGGCTACTCCACAGTCCTGATTTTTAACCTTTCCTTGGACAGCTCCCAAAAACAGGCATAAAGGTCTGAAAGCTGCCACCTCCTACCCCTGCACGGCGGGGAATGACAAGCAAGCTGTGGTCTGGGGCTGGGAATGTCTTCTCAGGGGAAGAAAAAAAAAAAAAAAAAAAAAAAGAGCATTATTCCCACCACCAAAACCAGACTGCCATCTGTATCCACGACTATAAGGCACGCCGCAAATTATGTAATTTAATAAACACTGTAATAATAAAGTATTTATTTTGTATAATGAAGTGTTAGTGATTAGAAACCAAACACACATCGGGCGTGCTGCTGCGGTTTCTCTTGAACCTTTGCCAGTATCACTCAAGGCTAAATATGTCTGCAGCAGGTTGAGAGTAAGTTCCTCGCCTTGTTTTGATCAGCCTGTCAAGTGTTTTAGCTGCCAGTCGAGTTTCTTTATATCACACTATAATTGGCTGCTTTCTCAAGGTGCAGCCAAGGAAAAAAAGCACACGGCAAAACTCGGGCTCCTTTGGCAAAATCCTCCACTGCTGCTTTGCTGCAAGCTGATTGCAGTAGCAAAGGGCACTTTGTAAACAGCTGGTGAAAATCGAGTGGAACTGAAAGGCAGCTTGCAATAAACTCCAGGAGAAAGCCTTATTTACCCTCCCGTGCTGGCTTTGGAGTGTCGATCAAACCACTTGCAGCTCCCACGGGAGGCCCTCGGAAAAATAACGGGAATGAGAGGAAGCAGAGAGGCAAACGCCGTCCTCCAGAGCCCCCGTGCACCCCAGGGCCCCCCCGGCCCAAGTTCAGCTCCAGGGTCAAGCGGCCACCCCCAGGGCCGTCCCCGCGTGTCCCCGGCGCCACATCTGGGGCCAGCTTTGATCAGAGCAGGCAGGAGGGGGGTCCTGCCCTCCCGATGCCGACCCCATCCCTCAACGTCAGCCCATTGATCCGCAGATGTCGGCAGGGAGCAGGGGAGAACCGAGGGTGCAGGGAGCATCAATCTCCGTGCGCAGGACGTGGAGCACCGCGCCCTCCAGAGGCTTTGCTCCGCTCTCAGCAGCACCTCCAGCGCCGCCCCAGCTGCACCCCGAGCCTTTGGGGTCACCCTAACGTCAGTGAGGACAATTTGGCAGCGATCACTGGGGTGAAAGCACAGGCCATGGCAGCAAGGGACCGTCCTGCCTTCTACCACAGCATCCTACCGACTCGCTCTGGAAGGGCAGAGCTGCTCTGCTGGGGTTCCGGAGCTGTCCCCCCACAAAAGGATCAGTGCTCAGGTGTCAGAGGCACCCTGGCAGAAAAAGGAAGTGTGAATTTTCTGTGGCTGCTGCTCTGAGAAGCAGAAATGAGCCGTGAAGAATCAGCCGGCCCTGTGGCCTGCCCTCACCTGGCAGCAGCACAGCCAGAGGCTTCCAGGTGTATCCCACACCTGTGCCCTTTGTCCTTTCCATGGGACCAGCCTTCCTAGCAGGGGATAAACACCGGGAGAGCAGCCTGGGCAGTTACCCAGCACAGGCTCCTTCGGCTTTTCCAGGGAACTGCAGTGACAACACTTCTGTTTCCTTTTGTTCCACGCAGCAGCAGCACCTGAAAACCCAACTGTCCCTTAACAGTGACACTGCAGACACCACCCAGCACACTGGGAGATGTGGATGGGTGGTGCTGGATCCCAGGGACTGGGAAATGCAGAACTTGTTCCACCTTTACTGCTGCCTGTCCCTTCCCCTCTCCCCACCGTGTGCCACTGCTGCAGGAACAAAGGAGAAGCAGAACACTGGCACTGCTGTTTCCTGGCTCAGACAGAAAACAGCATTATAACAGCATAATTCCAGTAAGGTTTCCCTCCTGCCACTTTTCCTAAAAGCTGCAAGAAGGTCTGGATCTGGAAACTCTCTCTCACATCACTGAGTCCAACCCGACAGCTCTGTTAACTCTTGTTTCTCCACAGAGGAAGAGCCATCTTTCCATGTAAGTGAGGAAAACCAGGATTTCCCTTACCTGCGCTGCAAAAAACCCAAAAGGCTGCGTTCTGTCATGTAATGCAATACAAAACACTAAGGATGTAGGACTGGAAGGGGAAAATTTGGCAGGGGCTGCCCAGGGAGGTGGTGGAGCCCTTGTCCCTGGAGATGTCCAAGGAATGACTGGACATGGCACTCCATGCTCAGGGCTGGGTGACAAAGTGGGGAGTGGTCAGAGGGTGGACTGGGTGGTCTTTTCCAGTCTCAGTGTTTCGAGGATTTTGGGAAATGCAAGTCACTAAAGAATGCAGCAAGCAGCACATCACTAACACACAAGAGAAAAACCAGTATTTCCACCTTTCCTGGCAGTAAAAAAAAAACCTCCCAGCCCTAATTCTGGATGGAAACACTCTCAGTGGGCACAAAAAGGTCCACCCAGCCCCAGCCAGACCCCAGCCCAGGGCTGGGAGGGGCAGTGCAGCATTCCCATTCCAACATCACACACGAGCTGCACCCTATGGAAGAGCACATTTACCCTGGGCTGAACACCTAGCCAATTCCCTTTGCTGTGACCCACACCCAGCCAATGGCTCAAGGGGCTGGAATTCCTCAGGAGCTCATTCCCAGGGCTGCTCTGGGTGCAGTGCCTGGCTCCTGCTGCTGGATTCCCCCGGGCTCACCGTGTGTGCGCTGAATTCCGGGAACATGACGCACGTGGCTCCCACCCACAGCGGGCACAGCAGCTTGTTGATCACCCCGTGGACGTGGTGCAGAGGCAGGACGTGCAGGATCACATCCTCCTTCTTCCACTCCCACTTCTCAACCAGCCCCGTGGTCTGCAGAAGAAAACAAACAGCGTGGCCTTAGGGCTGCAGGAAAGGTTTTCCCCAGGTATTCCCGAGGTATTCAAGCCCCAAATTCAAGCCACCAGGCCTGCCTGGGTACAAAATCTTTCCTTTAGGATCAGCAGGAGAAAAGTTCCCACCACAGCAGCAAGAACACAAAAGGAACACCTTCAGCACCCTGTCAGGATGTGTCTTTAAATCAGCAAAGCCCTTCCTTGCTGCTGAGAAATATCAACAATGATTTTAAGTAGGACATACAAAAATATTAATCTACCGCTGCACATGAAGATTTGGCAGAAATAGTAATCAAAAAGCTAATTTTCCCAGAATTCTGTTGCCATAGTTAGGACACTGATGACATCAGGCTTTTAGCACCTGTAAGGGATAATCAGTAGGAGCAGGAAATTGCTGATAAACAGAAAGTAGGTTTCATGTTAGTAAAAATTATGAGAGCATCAAGCTCCCAAAACACTCTGCTCTGAAGGGATAATTATCTGAAGGGATAATTATCAGGTTTCTGGGTCAACAATGCCCTTCAGAGCCCAGTGCTGGCAACTGCAAAGCTTATTTCCAGCCACCTAAAAATAAGAAAAGCATCTGAGCAGTGGAATTTGGTCGTGTCTCTCAGAACCCTCTTCCACAGAGCAGCGAGCAGCTTTTAGATTTCCTGCAGGACAGCACAAAGGATGGGGACTGCTCAGGCCACCCCCCAAATATTCAGCATATTTGTGAGGGAACAGATTCTTTGCTCAATATAGCCAAGCCCTGGCTCCATCTGTCAAGGCTTTCATTCCTGTCGGGATGCTGCAGGATCCGAGCACCCAGGGCAGCAGCAGCTCTCCAGGCACCCCTGCATTCCCTGCCCTCCTTCCCTAATGGCAGCAGTCTGGCAGTTGCAGGCACTGATAACCAAGTGGTGAGGCAGGCAGCAGGCTTATTCAAACTTTTAATTCCTTTTGGCTCTGAGAGCTAATGGATTTTTTTGCCTTGGGGATACAGAGCTGAATAATGCACAGGCTTCACACAGCACTGGGCTGGGCTAAGATATTTTCCAATTAGGAGCAAAGATTCTCCCCTAGTCAGAGGGCAGGAAAGCAAACTGCAAAGAAATCAGGTCTTTTACAACGGGTTTCATCCATTCTGCTTTCCAGGAAAGCAGGGAGGAGAATCCACCTGCCTCAGGATGCAGTTGCAGCACGAACGGGCCAAGGTTTAGAAGCTCACACGCTGCTGTGTGCTCACCTTCCCAGCGTGGAGGACTCCAGAGCTGCAGCCCCACAGCCCTCTGCAGGAATTTGGCACTGGAAAGGTGTTTGCAACCCCAAATCCCCTCCAGATTCCAAGACTTTGTACCTTGGCATGAGCCTGGCAGGGGGGCAGCAGCACTCACCACAGCCTGCACGTTCTCGTGGGTGCTGAGGACACCCTTGGGCCTCCCCGTGGTCCCGCTGGTGTAGATGATCATGGCTCCTCTGTCCTTCCACGAGGAACAGCTTGGCAAGGGCCCCTCCTCCGTGGCTGCAGGGCTGGTGGATGCACCACCACCACACCTGGCAAGGGGCAGCACAGGGACTCCCAGTTTGTGGGCACTGGGGGTTATTTTCCCCAGGAACTCCTCGGCTGCGATGAGCAGGGCGCTCTGGGAGTCCTGGATCACGTACTCCAGCTGGGGCAGCGGGTGCTTGCTGTACAGGGGCACCGCTATGGCCCCGCTCATCCACGAAGCCCACTGGGCCACCACGTAGGAGGCATCGTTGGGGCACAGGAAGGAGATCCTCTCTTCCTCCAGGTCCCTGCTGGGGCACTGCAGGAGCCTGCAGATCTCCTGGGACAGGCGCAGGCTGCGGCTCAGCAGCTCCCTGTAGGTGTGCTCCCCGTTCCGGTCCACGATGGCCACTTTGTCCCCAAAGGCCAGGGCCCTGGTGAACACAGGGGTGACGTCGCTGCTGCAGGTGGCCCGGGCTGTGTGCAGGGCCCTGTGGGGACAGCCAGCCCTCGTGCCGTGCCCCGTGCAGCGGGACAGGTCCCGCGGGAGGCAGCGCAGGGGCCGGCACAGCTGGGGGAAGAGCAGGGGGAGCAGCATGGCCGGGCTGGAGGAGTCTGCAGAAAGCAAAGAAGGCAGCACATCAACACGGGCAGGGAGTACCCAGGGGGTTATTCCCACCCAGGCAAAGTGGCAGGCTTCATTTGAATAATATCCACTCTATTATTTATGTCCCTGCCTCAGACTGCCACATCCTGGGCAGCCTGAGCATCCCTGGGTCCTGCCACAGTGGAACAGGAGGCAGAGAGCCCTCCCTGCACAGCCTGCAACCCCTAAAACCCAGCTAATTTAAATGATGAACCAGCTTTCACAGAATCCCAGCATGGTCTGGGTTGGAAGGGACCTCAAAGCCCATCCAGTTCTACCCCCTGACAACTTCCAGTGTCCCGGGCTGCTGGCAGGCAGGGGTTGAGATGAGATGGGCTTTAAGGTCCTTTCCACGATTCTGTGAGGAATCCTAAACCCCTCTGCACAGCCTGGAGCAGCCTCTCCACACAGCACGGAGAAGCGGAGAGGAGAGGACAGGGCTGTGGCAGGAGAGAGAGGGATTTGCTGCACAGAATCCAATCAGCACCAAAACGTCCCCAGAGAGGTTCCACGACAAGAGGAAGCAGCCAAAGGATGACAAGCTCTCACTCTCCGAGAGCGTCCGTGACACTTCCCTGACGCCGGCAATAACAACCTGGTTTTTTCCCTTTTTTTCTTTTGATAAATGCCTATTAGTGGAGCAGCTCAGCTCCAGGAGCCTCCCAGCCCAGTTTCCCAGTGTGGGGAGGAGCTGGAACAAAGGGGAGCCAGCCCAGCCACTCCCCAGGGCAGAGCAGATCAGGGCTGCCTCAGCTCGGGCTGCACGAGTTGATTTTCCGTGAGCCCTGCGGTCTCTCCCCTCCACCTTTGGAGCATTTCTCCACCCAGACACTGGCCCTGCTGAAATTTTCTTTTGCAAATCAACCTCAATTTCTGCTTCTGCAAAACGAGCTTGTGATTTAGGGTGGAAACATCTGGAGGAGCAGAGGCTGCAGCCCCAGAGCGGGGTGACCCTGGGAACTCCTGACACTTGCCACCAGCATGGAAAAAAACAAAGCAGCTCAAGGCAGAGCTGGTGTGACGTCTGGAGAGACTGAAATGCAAAAACCCGACCTAATCCACACCCTAAACTGAGCCCGTGGCCATGGCAAGGTGTCAATGCCCTGAGCATGATGAGGGGCATGAACTGGAAGTGGCTTTGCCCAGGACCAGCGTGGCTGATGCTCCAGCTCCTTCCAAAAATCCAATTACCCCGTTCCCACCAGCCTGTGTTTCATGGAGCAATCCCAGCAGCACCTCCAGGCAGGCCTGGGAAGGCTGGCTGTTACAGAGCTGGGGTGCAAGGAGAGGTAAATCCAGGGGCTGTTTGCCACCCCCTCCCCTTGCTCAGGGATCGCTGCTGCCACAAACTCCAGCACAGCACACCGGGAAACAAAGTCTGTCCCTGAGTCCCAGGGGAAGGTGAAGGCAGGGCAGAGATGTGGCTCTGCTGCCTTGGAAGGGAAGGTTCAAATCCCCTGGAAGGGAAAATCCAAGCCCTCCTCCTCCTCCTCCTCCTCCTCCTCCCAGGGCTCTCCCCAGCTCCCAGCACAACAAAACCAGTGCAAACTGGGAGCTGCCCCGCACTGCACAGCCCTGGGCACTCTGTGCATCCCCCTCTGCACTTTCTGAGCACAAAGGGTATGAAATGCATTCCCTGGAGTGAAATGATCCTTGGAGTTACTCCGAGCTGCTCCAAAGTGAGTTATTACAGGAATAATCACTGCTCCAGCTGTGGCTGTGGAACTGCCAGTGGAGCCTGACCTGCAGGATCCCACCCTTTCCTCACTTACAGGCATGGGAACACAAAGGGATTCCTGGCTCTTCTACAACAGAGATAAAAATACTGCATTCTTAGAAAATCATCCAAAGTACTTTATTAGAAAATCATAAAGTAACCAAGGGACTTGGCATCAAATAATGCCTGAGGTATTATTTGATACAGCCTGCTGACTGTTCTTCCCTTCTCACAAAACAAAAAAAGGAAAGGTTTGTGTTGGAAGGGACTTTCAAGCCCATCCAGTCCCACCTCCCCCTGTCCCAGGGTGCCCCATCCCTGTCCGGCCTGGCCTGGGTCACTGCCGGGATGCAGGGGCAGCCCCAGCAGCTCTGGGCACCCTCACAGGGAGAAAATTCTCCTCTCATTCCGCACCGATTCCCACCCTCGGGCTCTGTGCCCGCAGCCGCTCACGGCACACGGCGGAGCAGGACTCGGCAAGAACCGGGCCGAGCTCCCCGAGATACCGGGGCCGTGCAGGCCATCCCGGGGCCACCCCGAGCCCATCCCGGGGGCATCCCGAGCCCATCCCGGAGCCCATCCCGGGGCCCATCCCGGGGGCATCCCGAGCCCATCCCGGGGGCATCCCGGGCCCATCCCGGAGCCCATCCCGGGGCCCATCCCGGGGGCATCCCGAGCCCATCCCGGGGCCACCCCGAGCCCATCCCGGGCCCAACCCGGAGCCCATCCCGGGGCCATCCCGGGCCCATCCCGAGCCCACCCCGGGCCCATCCCGGGGCCACCCCGAGCCCATCCCGGGCCCACCTCGGGGCCACCATGAGCCCATGCCGGGGCCTATCCCGGGGCCACCCCGAGCCCATCCCGAGCCCACCCCGGGGCCATCCCGAGCCCATCCCGGAGCCCATCCCGGGCCCATACCGGAGCCCATCCCGGGCCCATCCCGAGCCCATCCCGGGGCCACCTCAGGCCCATCCCGGGGCCATCCCGGGACCACCCTGAGCCCATCCCGGGCCCATCCCGGGCCCATCCCGAGCCCATCCCGGGCCCACCCCGAGCCCATCCCGGGGCCACCCCGAGCCCATCCCGGGGCCACCCCGAGCCCATCCCGGGGCCATCCCGAGCCCATCCCGGGCCATTCCCGGGCCCATCCCGGGGCCACCCATCCCGGGGCCATCCCGGGACCATCCCGGGGGCACCCCGAGCCCATCCCGGGCCCACCCCGGGCCCACCCTGAGCCCACCCCGGGCCCATCCCGGGAACACCCCGAGCCCACCCCGAGCCCACCCCGGGCCCATCCCGGGGCCGCCGCAGCCCCGCCGGGCCTCACCTGCCGCAGGGGGACCGCTCCGGCCGCGAACAGCTCCGGCGGGAACGCGGCGCCACGACCCGAACGTTCCGCGCACCAATGTTCCGCCAGCCCGCAGCTGATTTGTGGGGATTTGGCCCCAAAACGCCCACGGGGGGCGGGATCGGGACTCCCTGACTGTGCATGCAGCCCCCCGGGGTGTCACCAGTGTCCTCGGGGGTCGTGGCGGGTGGGGGTGGCGTCATGGAGATCCAGCTCTGCCCTGCGGGTCCTGGGAGCACGGGCCTCGTCTGTGGGGTTTGGGGGTTTGGGATTTGGGGGTTTGGGGATTTGGGGGTTTGGGGATTTGGGGATTTGGGCGGGGTGCAGGGATGGTCTGGGCTCGTGGAACCTTCACACACGGGCAACCCAGGCATGTACAGAGATCCCAGAGATGCACAGACACCCTGGGGACACACAGACACAGGGACACACAGACACAGGGACACACAGACACCTTGGGGACACACAGACACAGGGACACACAGACACCCAGGGACACACAGGGACACACAGACACCCCGGGGACACACAGACACCCTGGGGACACACAGACACACAGGGACACACAGGGACACACAGACACCCAGGGGACACATAGACACCCTGGGGACAAACAGACACACAGGGACACACAGACATCCTGGGGACACACAGACACCATGGGACACACAGACACACAGGGACACACAGACACCCTGGGGACACACAGACACCCTGGGGACACAGACACACAGGGGACACACAGACACAGGGACACACAGACATGGGGACACACAGACACCCTGGGGACACACAGACACCCAGGGACACACAGACACACAGGGACACACAGACACCCAGGGACACACAGACACCCTGGGGACACACAGACACCCAGGGATGGGATGGGATGGGATGGGATGGGATGGGATGGGATGGGATGGGATGGGATGGGATGGGATGGGATGGGATGGGATGGGATGGGATGGGATGGGATGGGATGGGATGGGATGGGATGGGATGGGATGGGGTGGGATGGGATGGGATGGGATGGGATGGGATAATGGGATGGGATGGGATGGGATGGGATGGGATGGGATGGGATGGGATAATGGGATGGGATGGGATGGGATGGGATGGGATGGGATAATGGGATGGGATGGGATGGGATAATGGGATGGGATAATGGGATGAGGGCACTGGCAGCTTCCCCTGCTGCTTGGAATGAAGGTGCAGCACAGCAAGGTGGGAGCCTGTTCATCCCACTGGCACTGTTCATTCCCACAGGGAAGCGTGTCCCCATGCCCACCCTGCCCCAGCCCGGGGGGGCACAGAGCGGTGCCCGGGGTCCCCGCGAATGCTCAAAGGGTGTTGTAAACAAGGGGCAGTGAAATGTTTGATCTCCACCATCTGCTGGCCCCTAATCCCCACCCTGCTGCCTCCCCCCTTCCCAACCTCCCTAAGCTGCTCCTGGTCAGGCAGCAGAAGGCCACCAGGGGCTGCTGGCCCTGTCCCCTGCCACAGCCCGGTGGCATCAGCACCACTGCAAGGCTGCCAGGGCCGCCAGGGCCCTTCCCCTCTGTTCCCCCCGTGTTTCAGAGGTTTCCCTGCCTGCATCCCTCCCAGAACCAGCATCCCCGAGCTGCTGCAGGCACTGGGGCCTCTCTGTCCCCAGGGCCCTGCAGGGGACACGATTGCCATGGGGACTCCCCGGGGACAGGAGCAGCTCGCACTGAAGTGGAGCCCTAAGTGGCTCCTGCCTCACGTGGCGAGGAGAAGTGCAAAATGGCCCCATTATGTTAATTACCCGGAATTATGATTGATGGAGATTAGCTGCCTCTTTGAGGAAATGGCAGGCACACGTGTGACACGGGCAGGCCGGGGACAGCCACCGGGGCATGGCAGGATGGCTCTTATGGCACCAGCAGGCAGCTGGAGCTGCACCCAGGGGCACCAGGATGGGTCACAGTGTGAGCCTGGCTCCTCCTGCCAGCTGCACAAAGGGCATCCCTGCTGGGGGAGAAGGTGTTAACCAGGAATGTCGCTGCTCTCTGTGCTCCTGGGCCTGCCCCAGCAGCCCTGTGCCCCCCTGAACGTGGCTCCCAGTAAATACCTTTTTTTGGGAGAAACTGAGCAGGAGCTGGGCTGATCCCCGTCTCCTGCCTGGAGATTCCCACCCCGTTCCCTTGGCCTTAGGGGCCCTCTGAGGGCATTGGCACCAGGAGCATCCATGCTACAGTGGAGGCACAAGCCACATGCCCAATTTTACCTTCAAAATGACACCCAAAGCAGGAGCTTTGGGAAGAAAAGCTGGAAAAGCAGGACTGGCTGCTACGCCAATGCCTGGCCAGGATGGAGTCATGGCACGACTGAACCACCAGGGCCGGATTTTGGCACGAGTTGGGGATGCTCAAGGCTGAGATGGCCGTGCCAGGAGGGCACCCCAAAACCTCCACCCATCACCACAAGTCCCTCCTCCGCTCTCCCCTTCCCAATTTCCCGGGCCCCCCTGTGCAGCAGACGGATGCTGGGTAAGAGGTGTGTCTGTGGGAGCCGTCCTCGCCACGCAGCGTCGCCCGGCTGCCATCCCTGCCACGGCTCTTCCGCCCGGGCTGGGGGCACAACCCGGGGCACACGGGGCTGAGCCTCTGCTGGCGATGCCAACAACACCACGGGCAGGCTCTGGGACAAGGACATCACCCAGCTGGCCTTGGCGGAGGGAAGGGGTCCCTGGTGGGGACACGGGCACGGCGATGCCAACCCCTTTCTCTGCCTTCTCCCCTTTTCCTCCCCCCGTTTGGCACTTGGCAGCGGAGCCGTGGCGGCGGCTGGGGCGCGGTGCCGGGGAAAGGCTGCCAAGGCTCGCCAGCCCCCCGTGCCAAGGCTGGCGGCTGGCAGAAGGGCCGCCCGCGCCTGGCAGGGCTTCGTCAGCTGCGGGAGGATCCCCGTGCCGCGCTCGCTGCCAATTTCCCCGCGAGCTGGCACCGCAGGCGGCTCCGGAGGCACCGGCAGAGAGGCTGGGGAGGACGGATTGTGAAAGGGAGAGAGGAAAAAAAAGAAATTAATGGACACATGCCATCGCTGGAGCGGTGAGGCTGCCAAAGCACCAGCAGGCAGCGGGGGCAAAACCCACCGGCGGCACAGAGGAGGGTCTGCAGCGCGTCCCGGCGTGGGCACATGGAGCACGGGCGGCGTGGAGGAGGCACGGCAGGGCCGAGGCAGGACGGAGGACAGAGGTATTCACCTTCCTTGTGTGTGTGCATGCGTGTGTCTGTGCCAGGCTTTGCTGCCCGTGGCCTCGCTGCCCACGTGTGCCCGCCTGGTGTGTGCCACTCTGTCCCATACCACGGCCCTGCCCTGCCAGGGCACTCACAGGCTCCAGGTGCCCGCCCTGGGGCTGCCAGCAGCGGGGTTGTGGCTTTGTGTGGCTGGGCTTTGTCTGCTGGGGGCTGTGGGAAGGGAGGTGAGAGCCAAAGCGTGCCAGGCAAAGTGTGCCAGGCAAAGCGTGCCAGCCAGCAGCGCTGGCACATGGGAAATGCGCCCTGCTCCCGGCCCAGGCTGCCCCAGAGCACAGCCCGCTGCTGGCTGGGTGAGGGGGACAGAGGGAGGGTGGGCAGGGAGCCCCCACAGCCATCAGCGTGCTGGGGAGGAGGAGCAGGGAAGGGGAGGATGGAGCAGGGAAGGGAGGATGCAGGGCACCAGGAAACTCTCAGTCCCACAGCCATGACTCGCACCATGCCGGGGTTGTGGCCATGGGGTGCTGGGTGAAGGCGATGGGGTGTAAGTGGGTGTTTGTTTGGGGCTGGGGGTGTGGGGGCAGCCCTGGGGAGGGGTTTGAGAGTGTGGGGCAGAGAGATGGTGCTGCTGTGTGCCTCCTGCCTGCCTGGAGTGCAGGAGCAGGGTGGGAGCCATTCCCAAGGCACAAACAGCGGGATATCGCTGCTCCTCTTCTGTGCAAAGTGGCTGCAGAAGGGCCCCCAAGCACCAAACCTGGCCTGTGCCCAGGGAAGGAGCTGGCAATCAAGGGAAACTGGGGTGCTGGCAATCCCAAATCTCACAGCACCCCAGCTCCTGCTGCTCTGCACCCTGGCTGTGCCCACCAGCTCCCTGTGCCCAGGGATGTCCACTCTGCACCAGTCCCAGCAGGACAAACCTCCCTCAGTGCCCATCACCTGCAGGAGCTGGGCAGGGATCCAAGCACCCAGCTTCGAGGGCAGCAGCTTCTCCCTGGGAGTGATGTGGCAAGAGATGGCCCATGCCATGCCATGCCATGCCATGCCATGCCATGCCATGCCATGCCATGCCATGCCATGCCATGCCATTATCCCATGCCATGCCATGCCACCCCATCCCATCCCATCCCATCCCATGCCATTATCCCATGCCATGCCATGCCATGCCATGCCATGCCATTATCCCATCCCATCTCATCCCATGCCATGCCATGCCATGCCATTATCCCATGCCATGCCATGCCGTGCCATGCCATGCCATGCCATGCCATGCCATGCCATGCCATGCCATCCCATTATCCCATCCCGTTATCCCATCCCATCCCATTATCCCATGCCATGCCATGCCATGCCATGCCATTATCCCATTCCCATCCCATCCCATTATCCCATCCCATCCCATCCCATCCCATCCCATCCCGTTATCCCATCCCATTATCCCATCCCATTATCCCATCCCATCCCATTATCCCATCCCATCCCATGCCCCCATCTCCCCTCGGCCCGTTCCCCGGTATTTCCCGGTTCCTGCTTCCTGCCCAGGCAGGGCTCTCCAGGGACTCCAGGCAGATGTTCTCCAGCACAGCACATTGCTTTCCTCATGAAATATTCATGGAGCCCCTCCGCCTCCTGCCATGGAGGCCTCCCGCAGCTCCCGGCCATGGAAAGCGTTCCTGCAGAGCTCCCGGTGTGCTCCCGGTGTGCTCCCGGTGTGCTCCCAATGCTCCCGGTGTGCTCCCGGTGTGCTCCCGGTGCTCCCGGTGTGCTCCCGGTACTCCCGGTGTGCTCCCGGTGCTCCTGGTGTGCTCCCGGTGTGCTCCCGGTGCTCCCGGTGCTCCCGGTGTGCTCCCGGTGTGCTCCCGGTGCTCCCAGCCAGCCTGCGGCATTAGCGATGCTGTGCACTAGAATCCAATTAAGTTGTTTATGCAAATAATCAGGTTTTATGTTTTGGTAAAAAGCTTAAATAACCTTAATCAGAGAGAAAGGCCTGAAAGTATCGGGGCTGTGGGGTGGTGGGTGCTGGTGACACCCTGTGCCCGGCTGGTGACACCCTTGGGTGGCTGGTGACACCCTGTGCCTGACTGGTGACACCCTGTGCCTGGCTGGTGACACCCTGTGCCCGGCTGCTGACACCCTGTGCCCGGCTGGTGACACCCTTGGGTGGCTGGTGGCACCCTGTGCCTGGCTGATGACACCCTGTGCCTGGCTGGTGACACCCTGTGTGTGGCTGATGACACCCTGTGCCTGGCTGGTGACACCCTGTGCCTGACTGGTGACACCCTGTGCCCGGCTGTGACACCCTGGGTGGCTGCTGACACCCTGTGCCTGGCTGGTGCCACCCTGTGCCTGGCTGTGACACCCTGGGTGGCTGCTGACACCCTGTGCCTGGCTGGTGCCACCCTGTGCCTGGCTGGTGACACCCTGGGTGGCTGGTGACACCCTGTGCCTGGCTGGGGACACCCTGTGCCCAGCTGGTGACACCCTGTGCCTGGCTGGGGACACCCTGTGCCCAGCTGGTGACACCCTGGGTGGCTGGTGACACCCTGTGCCTGGCTGGTGACACCCTGGGGGCTGGTGACACCCTTGGGTGGCTGGTGACACCCTGTGCCCGGCTCTGCCTCCTGCACCCCCTATTTCTGGAGGATGATAATCCATGCATGTGGTGTAGGAACAACCCATGTTCTGCACAACAAATGACGGTAATTTGCTGCGAGGCTCCGGAGCTGAGTATTAACGCAATGCCTGAGGGAGAGAGCGGCAGCTGTGCTGGAATTAATGGCAACGTGCCGAATTAGCACCGCCATGCATCATAGTCAGGGGGAAAAATTACCAGAGAGGCGAGGAAAACAACCCCTCCGTTGGTGTGCCAGCCCCATGCCCGGGGCACGCTGCCCGGGGGATGCCAGGGGGTGGCCTGGCCCTGGCCCTGGCTCTGTCCGGGCACAGTGCAGCTCACCCCGAGCCCAGCAGGCTGCCCTGCCAAGGTGGGTGTGCTCAGCACTGCTCAGTGTCCCTCTGGATGCTCCACATCGCTCCTGGAGCTCTGCATCCCCCTGGACAAAACCGTGCCACTCCATCCCACCCTGCTCCCAGGGATCATCTCCTCCAGGATGTGTGTCCTCCTTACCAAACCACGTTATTCCATCCCACCCACTCCTGGGGGTCATCTCCTCCAGGATCTGTATCCTCCTGACCAAACCGTGCCGCTCCATCCCACCCACTCCTGGGGATCATCTGCTCCAGGATGTGTGTCCTCCTGACCAAACGACCCCACTCCATCTCACCCCACTCCATCCCACCCCACTCCCAGGGATCTTCTCCAGGATCTGTATCCCCCTGGACAAAACCATCCCCCTGGACAAAACTGTGCCACTCCATCCCACCCCGCTCCCGGGGATCATCTCCTCCAGGATGTGTGTCCTCCTGACCAAACCACTTTATTCCATCCCACCCACTCCTGGGGATCACCTTCAGGATCTGTATCCCCCTGGACAAAACCATCCCCCTGGACAAAACCGTGCCACTCCATCCCACCCCCTCCCAGGGATCATCTCCTCCAGGACGTGTGTCCCTGCTGCTCCCCCATTCCTCCCCCTCCTTTCTGGGGTGTTATTCATCTCCTTGTCTGTTTACTCCTTCTCTCCATTCCCGGTGGTTGAGTGCCCGAGTCTGGAGCTCCTCATCGATTCCTCCCGGTGATCTGCAGCCTCCTCCGGAGCATCCTCCTCCTCCTCCTCCTCCCCCGCCGCCTTCCGCCCACCTCGGCCGGAGCTCGCTGTGGATGGGCCATTGCCTCCTAATGGACGCTTCCAGTAAATCCCACACCTCTGATGAATATTTAACCCGCCAGCCGTCTCTGCTGGTCCCACGGCGCTGCTGTGCCTCGTGGCAAGTTGGGTCCAGCCCTTGGGTGGCTGCACCCAAGGCTGTGCAGATGGCAGGGAGCATTTATCCCAGCGAGACTGGCACTGGTGCCATCCTGAGCCAGTATTCCCATGAATCCCTCACCATCCCCTGTGCCCGCTGCAGCTGGTGGCTGTTCATCCTCAGCCTAACACAACCCTAAAAATGAAACATCTCCCTCAACCTTTTCTCCTGCTTCTCCTCTGCAGGTCTCAGGCCCACAGGAGCTGCCCCAGCCTGGCCCTGGATGTCACTGTGCCACCCCTCCCCGCTGTGGGACAGTCCTGGGGCTGTGGTGTGATGGATGTGGATGTGCCACCAGCCTGGTCCTTGCTGGGATGCACCGACAGCTGCTGAGCACCAAATCCGCTGGGATGTGGCAACGGGAATGGGATTTCCCCTGGGACCCTCCTGCAGCCACCAGGATTCAGCATCCCAGGAGTGAAGAAGGTTCATTCATCCAGAAGTTTATCCATGCAAGCACAAGTGGAGCTTTACCAAACACGCCCAGGCCCTGCTGGCTGCCTTGGGGGCCAGGATTCTGCCTGGGAAGGAGGAAAGTGCTCCTCACCCTGCTCCAGACCATGGCAGCGTCACCCAGGGGACCTGCGTGGACACTCCGAGGGCTGTGCCAGGTCCTGGAGCTCACCTGGAGCACACCAGTCCTAATCCCAGCTCCTCTCTGTGTCCTGGGGCTGCTCGGGGCTGTCCCATCCCAGCCCCTCTCCGTGTCCTGGGGATGCTCGGGGCTCTCTGCCCGACCCCAGCCCCTCTCCGACCCCAGCCCCTCTCCGTGTCCCAGGGATGCTCGGGGCTGTCCCATCCCAGCTCCTCTCCAGGGCTGTCCCATCCCAGCCCCTCTCCATGTCCCGGGGATGCTTGGGGCTCTCTGCCCGACCCCAGCTCCTCTCTGTCCGGGCTCTCTGCCCGACCCCAGCCCCTCTCCATGTCCCAGGGATGCTCGGGGCTCTCTGCCCGACCCCAGCCCCTCTCCATGTCCTGGGGATGCTCGGGGCTCTCTGTCCCACCCCAGCCCCTCTCCGACCCCAGCCCCTCTCCGTCCGGGCTCTCTGCCCCATCCCCACCCCACACCAGGAGCTCTACGGGCCATCCCGCCCTTCAAACCCCAAGGAACCGGGCAGGGAACTCGTGTCGGGGGCTGGTTCTGGAGTGGGATTGGGGTGCCACAGGAGGCTCCGGGGGTGCTGTGGGTGCTGCCGGTCACTGCCAGGTTACATCTGCCGGGGCACGCAAGAGTGACTCCAGATGCATTAGAAGTGCCGTGCTCCAATTTCAATTTCATCGTCTCACAATCATTTTCAGGCTCCTCTTAGTGCCACATTAACGAAGCCTGCTCGTTTGAATGCATAATTAGCCCAAGCATTCTACCTCGCTAATTTCGAAGCAAGGAGGGGGGGAGAGAAGGGGGGGAATTTGCATATTAATCTAGCAGAGGGAGAGAAAAACTGTTTACCACTTGCTTCTTGCTGTTGATCACAGCGGACTTAACTCTTTCCCGGGTGCCATCTGGAGCTGGAGCGGGCTCCCAGCCGGCACGTGGGACGGGCCGCAAAGGTTACAGACTGCAATTAAATAATTAAATCCTGCCGAGAGCCCCTGAGAGCCCTGGGGCTGCGGCTCCTGCCAGCGCAGGGCGCATGAAAGGCGGCTGAGGTGGAGGTGGCAGCTCCGAAATGTCCCCTACCCTCCTCCCTGGTGGCTGAAAAGCCACCCACCCACCCGTTGTCACCCCCTCAGGGTGGCAGTGTCCCATCCCGGATCCACCCCTTGGCCAAGCAGAAGGGATTCCCAGCAGTGCCATCCCTCCTGCAAATTCCAACTCCGTCACCCTCGGCGTGTCCCCTTCAAAGGGACACCTTTGCCCTCAGGGCTCTGTGATTTTAGCATCCCCCACCCACGCCGTGCTGCTGGATGGATGAGCGTGTCCCTTCCCCGCAGCCCCTTTGCAGGGGGTGTCCCGTGGGGTCCCCACAGCCTCTGCACACCAAGAGCACCCGAGGAGCGGGGTGGGCAGCACAACTCACCCCAGCCCCCCAAACACCGGCTCCCTTTGTTTGGGAGTCTGTGGGCGTCTTGAGCCGAGGTTGGAGGTAATTTGTCTGTCTCCTGCAGCGGGCTGTCATCTCGCATCTGTGAGCCAGTTCTGTTTGCACTGCCATTAAAAAAATCTCAGGTCTGACAGGTAATAAAAAAAACCCAAAAAAACCCCAAAAAACCCCATTAAAAAATAGCAACAGGATGTTGGGAATATCACAGACTCGTCGCAGCTGGACCACCCTCACATGCAGCTCTCACTGTCCGGGTATTTGGGTTTGAGGGTGGTCGCACTGCACTGAGCCCTGGTTTGGCCTTTGGACACGTATCCCCAGGGATGTCCCCTCGGCACCTCCATCCCGGCTCCCCAAACGCCATCCTCAGCCCTGGAGACCCCCCTGCCCCATCAGCCACCCTGCCTCGCTGGCTCGGAGCCATCCCAGCGCGTCACAGCCATTTGGGGACACCTCCACCCTCGGCATCCCCGGCTGAGTCCGCACCGCAGCCGCACGGAGCCGTGCCCGGGGGTTTATCCTTCCCCAGCCCCGGGGGTGCGGAGCCGAGGGCGGGGGGCGCACCCCAAAAGTGCCCGAGGGCGCTCCGGAGCGGGGCCGGCGCTGCGGAGGGGCGCGGGGCTGGCTCGGAAAGGGTTAACGGTTGATTACAGCCTTTGTCTCCGCACCAGCGTACATAATGCGCCCGCATTTGCATACTGCAGTGTGCGCTCAATTAAAATGAACTTTTAATTTCTTCTAAGTAAATTACTTCTTCCCGCTACGTGACGCGCACAAAATGTCAGAATAATGGGAGAGCCTTAATGAGCTGGGAATGAGGGGCAGGGAGGGGATGCTGGGGGCTCCGGCTCCCCTCGGGGGATGGAAGGATGGAAGGATGGAAGGATGAAGGATGGAAGGATGGAAGGATGGATCCTGCCCTGCTGCCTTCCCTGCCGGCCCACGGGATGTCCCCTGGGCAGGGCCGGGGTGTCACCTCCTCCCCATCACCTCCTCCTGCTGCCCGTGTTCCCCCAAGGAGCTGAGCCCCCGCATCCCGGGGGTGTGTGGGGACACGGGAATGTCCCTGCAGGGCTCTGAGCCCTCCTGCCCTCATGGAGGCACCCAGGGGTGTCTGGGGACACAGGAATGTCCCTGCAGGGGTCTGAGCCCTCCGGGTCCTGCCTTAAAGTGACACCCAGGGGACACGGGAATGTCCCTGCACGGTCCGAGCTGTCCGGGCATTGGCTTAAAGTGACACCCAGGGATGTGTGGGGACACAGGAATGTCCCTGCACGGTCTGAGTTCTCTGGGTCCTGCCTTAAAGTGACACCCAGGGGTGTGTGGGGACACGGGAATGTCCCTGCAGGGGTCTGAGACCCCCGGGTCTCAGACTTAAAGTGACACCCAGGGGTGTGTGGGGACACGGGAATGTCCCTGCAGGGCTCTGAGCTCTCCTGCCCTCATGGTGGCACCCAGGGGTGTGTGGGGACACGGGAATGTCCCTGCACGGTCTGAGCTCTCCAGGCCCTGCCCTCACCCTGGCACTCTGCACCCTCCCAAAAACGCTCCCCGGGCCAGCAGCTCCTTCCCCGGGGAGCCGCGGCCGCTCCGTCCGTGCCGGGGGGATGCTCGGGGGGTCCCGGAGCACCCCGGGCCGACCCTCCCGGAGCCCCCCGGGCCGCGGGGACAGATGGTGGCCGAGATTAGTGGCGTTTGATTCTCAGCTAAATCCCAAACCTGGCCGGGCGAGCGCCGCTCCAGATGCACTTTCCGTAATCCCGGGAAGGGAACCCCGCGGAGGAGCCGCGGCCGGTGCTGGTGCCGGTGCCGGTGCCGGTGCCGGCCCGGGGGGGGATCAGCAGCAGTCCGGCCGCTCCGCCCCGCATCCCCCGCGCTCCCCACGACCCGCGTGGGTGCGGGCAGGAGCAGATGGAGCCGGGTGGAACCGTGCCAGGAGCTCACGGGCACCGGGATCACCCCGTGCCCGCCGTGCCCGGCTGGCACAGAGGAGGTGGGGGCTGCGGGGGTCTCTGCCGGGCTCTCCCCACCTCATTTCTCCCATAAGTGATGCCCAGAGCAGCCCAGCGCTGCCCAGCTGGCACTGGGGGGGGGCACGGAGAGCCCCTCTCCCGTGCTGGGGGTGCACCCCCACGTACCCCACAGATTCACCGGGATGTGGAACGGCTCCCCGAGCTGCTGCGGGGCAGGAGGGGTGGCACAGCCAGGGCCTGGCACCCATGGGTGCTCGTGCCCCTCCCTGGGATAACACCAGGGAGCTGGGAAGAGCAGGGGGCTGCAAGCCCCGGAATTTCTAGGGGTGCTCAGGGCCATGCTGGGGGCTCCCCCGTGGTTTTGAGGTGTGTTTTGGGGGCACAATAAGTTTTGGAGGTGCTGAGTTGGGCACATCTTCCTTGACCTCGGGTTTGACCCATCCCCAGCTGCCTCCTGCAGCTCCTCCTGTCCTTCAGCAGCACAAATTCAGGGTGCCCCCGAAAAAACATCACCTGCAAGAGCTGGTCCAGCACAGAGCCCCCCCTGCCCCTCTGCCAAGCACAGGCGGACCCTGGGGCCCACCCCACATTCCCAGGCGCCAATGCCAGGTTGTGCCCACCTGACACGGGACATCCATCGCCCGCCAGGAATGGCAGAGCCCGGCCTGGCACAGGGCTGTGCCCATCAATGGGTGCCCAAAGCTGACCCTACACCTCCTCCCCGGGGCTGGGCGGCCTGGGGGAGGTGACAGATACGAATTCCTCTTCATCTCCCGAGGGAAAAGGGGATGGGAAAAGCAAAGCTCCGTCTGGGATTGTCCCCACTGTGTACAAACATGCTCCTCACACGCCTCAAGGTGTGTCCCCTAAAGGACAATCCCAACCGTGTCCCCCCGAAAGGGAAGGGTCCCCAGGCTGCTTGTGGTGCTGAGTGTATTCACAAACATATATTTGTTTGTTATTTGTGTTGTTGTGTTATTTGTTATTTATATTTGTCTGTATTTGTGGGGGTCAACAGGAACTCCAAACCACGGCCACTGCTGGAGCCCGTTTGTTATTTTTCCTCCTCAGCCCTCCTGTGTTTGCACACTCATCTGGAGGGACTGGCACTTCATCTGCCCAGGGGGGTGGCCCCTGTCCCCGGGCTGGTGGCCCCTGTCCCCAGGCACAATCCACCTCCCTGGTGTTGTCACCACCTCCCCAGGCTGTCCCACCCCTGCGTGGTGCCAGGGCTGGGCTGCAGCAGTGCCAAAGCCCCTCCCCACCCTCACCCAGGGCAGACATTTCCCATCCCTCGTGCTCCCCCAGACCCTCAGCAGGTCCCGGTGGCAGCCAAGGAACAGGCGCCAGTTTCCCCCCAACGCCAAAATTTACATTGAACCGCAAATTAATTTCATAATTTTTTCCTCTCTAATTATGCCAACATCTGCTGCGAGGCCCAAGCTGTGCGTGTGCATTTTAATGCATCCCTCCCTCCCCTCTCAGCGCTGAACTTTTCTGGAATTGTCACCAGGAGAAGGCTCCTTTCCCTGCCAGGCGGGGCAGGGCTGGCACAGCACACGGAGCGAGGGGCAGGCAGGGGCTGGGTGGGAACCCAGAGCATCCCTCTGGCTGCCCTGGGACCCTGGCAGGGGTCAGAACCCCCCTGGACAGAGCCCCCAGAGACACTGGCTGTGATCTCTGTCCATGGAAAAGAGTTTTCAATCTTACAGGATGAATTACAAGCTCTGAGTGTTTGATATCAGTAATAATTAAGTGTGGCACGGGTGCAAAAGTAAAATTTTAGGATTCTAGATGAGGGGTCCAAAGGGGACAAGATGGAGGAAATTGGGTGTGCCTTGTCCCCTTTCTCCTTCTTCATGCCCTCCATGTTTCACTGCGGTGTTGGCATTTTTCTGTTGGTTCAGGCTGGGGACACACTGTCCAACGTAGGTGACAGATATTGGCACGTTATTGTAAATCCAGCACAGGTAGTTTGTGGTATTTAATGTTTGTAACATCCCACTGAGGGCAGAGCCCCACACGCTGCCCTGCAGGACAGAGCTGCGGCAGGGCAGCAGAACACGTTAGAGATAAACAGAATAAACAGCCTTGAAACAGCACAGACCAATTATGGCTTCTGCTTTGGCAGTGGGGCTGACAGACAGAGACTTTCTACAATCTCAGAATCATCAATACCACAGATTCCGACAGGGCTGTGCCCGGCCTGTGGGCTGGCATCGACTCTGCTGAGCCGTGGGGCTCATTCCCAGGAGGAAAGGGGAGGAGAAGAGCTGAGGCTGCTCCAGAGGCAGTTTGGAGAGCAGAGGGGCAGCAGAGCCCCTCCATGGCCAGGGAGGGCAGCCTGGGCAGGACGCGGCTCCCAGGGTGGTTCTGCTCCCTCCAGGGCCACCGAAGGGTCCTGCCCTGCTCACCTTGGTCCTGTTGTCACCCTGGCCTTGTCCCCATCGCCCCGGGGGTGCTGGTGGCGTGTCAGCCCTGTCACATTCCCACTGCACGGCCGCTCCCACCCAGGGACAGCTTTCACCACGGCCTCGCTGGAAGATGCAAAAGGTCATTTTAGCTGCCAATAATTAAACCTGGCAATTATCAGTGCAGAGCAGCAAACTCCTGGCTTGGCTGGTGCTGGGGAATGCAGGGCAGGGGCAGGAATGGGGCAGTGGGACAATGCCCGTGCCCCGACTGGCACCTCACCTCTGGCACAGGCAGCGCCTCCACAGAGCCCAGGGGCTGCCAGGCTCTCATTAGGAAGTTCATCAAGTGCTGTAATTAAGAGGTGAGGGGATGAAGGTGGTGCTGGGCTGCAGGATGAGCTCAGCTCCAAGGAGGAACGTCCTGCCCTGGGCATGGATTCGGCCCAACCCAACCCAACCCAACCCAGCCTGGCACTGGGCAGCAGCTCCGAGCTGCCCCTGGGCTGGGAAGGGTCGATCCTGCCCGGGGCTGTGCCACACGCCAGGGCACGACCCAGGGTGTGCCACCCCCTCGCCCTTTTCCCCCGGGAGGTGCCCAGCCCGTGGAGCATCCCCGGGAGGTGCCCAGCTGTGCCAGGGGGATCAGGGTGGCACAGCCCCGCTCGGCGGCTGCCGCAGCAGATGGCGGCCAGCAGGAGCTGCCGAGGAATAATTCGGGATAATCGGCACCGCTCCCGCCGCCCCGCACCCCCATCTGTGCCCGCTGCCCCCGGGGTGCTGCCCTGCTGTGTGCCTGGCACCCCGGGGTGCTGCCCTGCCATGTGCCTGGCACCCCGGGGTGCTGCCCTGCCGTGTGCCTGGCACCCCGGGGTGCTGCCCTGCCGTGTGCCTGCTGCCCCTGGGGTGCTGCCCTGCCCTGTGCCTGGCACCCCGGGGTGCTGCCCCGCACCCTGATGTGCCCCTTGCACCCATTAACCCTGCCCCACACCCTGATGTATCCCTGGCACCCCGGGGTGCTGTCCCGCACCCTGATGTGTGCTTGGCACCCCGGGGTGCTGCCCTGCCGTGTGCCTGGCACCCATAAACCCTGCCCCACCCCCTGATGTGTCCCTTGCACCCCGGGGTGCTGCCCCGCACCCTGATGTGCCCCTGGCACCCATTAACCCTGCCCCACACCCTGATGTGCCCCTGGCACCCACTGACCCTGCCCCACACCCTGCCGTGTGCCTGGCACCCAGGGGTCCTGCCCTTCACCCTGATGTGCCCCTGGCACCCATTAACCCTGCCCTGCGCCCTGATGTGCCCCTGGCACCCAGGGGTCCTGCCCTTCACCCTGATGTGCCCCTGGCACCCAG